GGTAGTGCGTGGCCTCAGTTCCTGCGAGAGGAGGGGCCCCACACTGTGGGGGACTGCTAAGCCACTGCCTGGCCCTCTCTTACACTGAGGAGCCTGCCTGTGGCTGCCATCTGGAGGTGGGGGAGATACCACCAGTTCTGTAAAAAAGGCCTGTGGGTTTCCATCATCCTCAAGCTCACAGCAAGCCAACAGGTGACCTGATTGCTAAAATAGCCCAGGAGGAGGGCAGGAGCTTCCAGGATCCCAAGGTGGAGTGGCAGGGCTGGGGCTGGAAGGACGTGAGGGCACCGTTCTTGAACTTGCCCAACTCTACGACTGGCTCTGGCAAGCAGGGAGCCCCTTCCCTGGAAACCTGTGCTGGGGTCCAGGCTGGAGACCACTGGCTTCTCACCCTGTGCTGAGACAAAGAGTTGGGGGCATGAGGAGTCCCAGGTAGGAGGCCGGCCTGGATCTCACTGTCAGTGCCTTTCCAACACTGCTTTTAAGTGAACTCGGTTGTCTTCCCTAAGCTGCAGGTCAGCACCCAGGGCCCTCACCTTCCAGGTTAGAAGAAACCCAGAGCGCTGGGATCGGAAAGGCCAGGGAGAACAGACCAGCTGGGTGCTCCACTCCCACATGGGGAGGTTGAGAGCCTGCAGGGCCACAGTGGGAGGGTGACAAAGGCCAGCTCTCCCCAGCCCACCTGCTATATTCAGCCGTCCCAAACAAAAGGAACAAAGAAGATGGCTTCTCTCATACAGCAGATAATAAATGTTCTGATTCTCAGCCCTGAGCGGTTCATTTCCCAGTGTCCCCAGCCAGGACGTTTATGGCCTACAAGTGACTCTCCAGAGGGCCCCGGGTAGGGGTTGGATTCCTCGAGGGCAGTGTCCCATGGCTGGGGCCTCTGAGGACAGCAATGCCCGGTGAATCTTGTAACCTTGGTGCAGGCCGGGAGGCCTGGCTGGGCCAGCTGGTGAGGACAGAGCCCAGTGCCCAAGCAGCTCCATCCTGGCTGTGGAGGGGATAAACCTGGGCTGGTGGAGCCCCTACCCTGCCATCCAACCCCAGCCCAGCTCATGCTTTTTTGGTTTATGTCTAATTATAAATGCAATTTGTACTCATTGTAAACTTTGGAAACTACAAAAAGGTAGAAAGGAGAAAATGAAAATCATCCGTCATCCCACTGCCCGGAGATAACTATGGTGCTATTTTGTTATGTTTCTCTCCAGGCCTGTTTTTCTATATAGATCATACATATATGTATATATGTGTGCATTTTAATTGTAATCGTACTCTGTAGCTGGCTTTCCCCCAGCATTACATTGTGAACATTTTCTCATAGCATTAACATTTTCTTTGAAGTTATTTAATGACTGTAAAATATTCTATTAATAATTTATTTAGCCATTCTTTTTTTTTTTCCTTTTTTTTTTCTTATTCTCTTATTTTGACTCTCATTTCTACCAAGGGAATTCAGTAGTTTTTAAAATTCCACATAAAAATATAAATCTAGCTGGGCGCAGGGGCTCACGCCTATAATCCTAGCACTTTGGGAGGCCGAGGTGGGTGGATCACGAGGTCAGGAGATCGAGGCCATCCTGGTGAAACCCCATCTCTACTACAAATACAAAAAATTAGCCAGGCATGGTGGCGGGCGCCTATAATCCCAGCTACTCAGGAGGCTGAGGCACAAGAATCACTTGAAGTCGGGAGGCAGAGGTTGCAGTGAGCCAAGATTGAGCCACTGCACTCCAGCCTGAGTGACAGAGTGAGACTCCGTCTCAAAAAAAAAAAAAAAAAAAAAAAAAAAAAAAAAGTGTGTATATATATATAGCTGTTCCTTTTTAGAGATGGAGTCTCACCAGTCACCCTGGCTGAAGTGCAGTGGTGCGATCATAGCTTACTGCAGCCTTGAACTCCTGGGCTCAAGCGATTCTCCTGCCTCCTCTTCCCAAAGTGTTGGGGTTACAGGCGTGAGCCACCACTCTTGGCCAAGCTGTTCCTTCCTAACTGCTGAGATGGGGGCAATTCTGGGATTTCCTGTCAGCCATTCACACTGAGAAGGGCCCCTCAGTTTAACATCTCAGGGTGATTGCAAAGGTTTAACATATATTTGTTTGTTAAATTTTTTGAGACAGAGTCTCACTTTGTTGCCCAGGCTAGAGTGCAGTGGCATGATCTCGGCTCACTGCAACCTCCATCTCCGATATTCAATTGATTCTCCTGCCTCAGCCTCCAGAGTAGCTGGGATTACAGGCGCCCTCCACCACGCCCGGCTAATTTTGTATTTTTAATAGAGACAGGATTTCACCATGTTGGCCTGGCTGCTTTCAAACTCTGAACCTCAGTTGATCCACCTGCCCCCTTGGCCTCCCAAAGTGCTGGGATTACAGATGTGAGCCACTGTGCCCAGTTTGTTTATTTATTTTTAACTCTATTGCTCCTTGCAGAGCAGGGCTAACCCATAGGCAGGTTGCCCAGAGTCAGCCAAGTTTAGCATTTAGAACAAGCCCCCAAAACAAAGAGTAAACCCCCATACCACCAGGGGAAGCTTAGGAAAAGAGTTTCCTTTTGCGCCCCTGGCTCGTGCTGCTCCCCAAGATTGGGTGCCATCCTGTGTCGCCCCCACCAGGCTGGATCTGCCATCCTGGGTTGTGAGTGGGTGATGGAAAGTGCTGGACAACCCCCAGTTCTGATTCTACCTGTGTCTTGAGTGGGTGGTGCTCTTGGGCAAGTCCTTTTGCGACTCTGTTTCTCCCTTTCCTGGGTTGGGAAATGGGTCTTAATGTTGACATTGGCCGCCTCTGGGGCTAGGATGGAGTGAGGTAGTGCTAACTCTGAGCTGATGCTTCTGTCCGTGGGGAGCACAGGTGTGGAGTTGGGGGATTTGGGCAAGTCACCTCCCTTCTGTTAGAGCCGTGGCCCATCCTGACTGAGATCCTCTGCTGGATCTCCTGCCCCATGGGTCTGTAGCTGCATCCTGAATGGCTGGCCCTTGCTGACCATCCTGTAGTCCAGATGACCCCTTTGCACAGCTCTGGCCTCCCAGGGCCCTGATTTAGTCCCCAGGAAAGGCACTAATCAGGGTCCCCTGCTCTCCCAGACAAATTCCTGCTCAGTAACCCAGAACCAGGCCCAAGGAGGATTCATGGAGAACCCCTAGATTTGCTGCTTCTCCCAGTCTTTCCAGAGAAATTCTGCCTTTTGTTCAGGGCTCAGGGATCATGCAAGCAGGGTTTCTGGAGGGCCAGGGCTGGACATCACTAGAGTATATCTTTCAGAAGGGCAGGGACCTTGAGCTTCTCACTTACTTGGTGTCTTCAGTGCCCAACACTGAGCCTGGCCTACTTAGACTTTTAATAAATACAGACCAAGGCAAGTGATATCTGCCCATCTGTTTCCCTTTCCATTCTGCCCTGCTGTCATGAGCTTTGTGAGAGCAGAGATGAGCGTGGTTCACCTCTGAGCCCTCAATGCCCAGCAAAGAGCTTGGCACTTGGAGAAGGTCCACACATGTATGAATGAGTGGAGAATAGGTGGGCTGATGACTAAGTTGGGCCCTGAGAGAGTCAGAGCTGGTGATGCGGGCCCTCCTTTCTTGCCGCCTCCCGTACAGTGGGTCTTTCCTCCCTCTGAACACCTTTGATTGTCCCTTCCTCTTTCCCTCCTTGATATGGTTTGGCTGTGTCCCCACCCAAATCTGATCTTGAATTATAGTTTCCATAATCCCCACATGTCGTGGGAGGGACTCAGTGGGAGGTAATCAAATCATGGAGGCAGTTACCCCCATGCGGTTCTCATGATAGTGAGTTCATTCTCATAAGATCTGATGATTTTATAAGGGGCTTTTCTCCTTTTGCTTGGCACTTCTGTCTCCTGCTGCCATGTGAGAAGGACATGTTTGCTTCCTCTTCTGCCATGATTGCAAGTTTGCTGACGCCTTCCCAGCCATGCAGTACTGTGAGTCAATTAAACCTCTTTCCTTTATAAATTACCCAGTCTCAGGTATGTCCTTTTAACAGCGGGAGAATGGACTAATCCACTCCTTCTTGGTAGAAACTGGCCACCAGGAAACGATGAGGCTTCCTGTCCATGTGACTTTGGACAAGTCACTTGACCTCCCTGAGCCTTTGCTGTCTCCTGTGTAAAATGGGGCCATTGAAAGGGTTTTGTGAGGCTCAGTGCTGATGGCTTAGCACAGTCAGTGCCTGGCAGGCCATGGACACTCAGGGAGAAGCAGCCCCTCTTGTTGGGAGCAACGTGGCCTCTCGAAGGTGTGAGCTCTCTGGCATGAGCTGGCCAACTGATTGACTAATGAAAGGGCATGGAGTAACCCTGTGCCTGGACTGGCTGAGGAGGCGGTTACAGATCCCCTGAAACCGTGGTTGCTGTTCCTGGCACCTTGGCCCTTGGCTCTGTCATTCAGTGAGCTTTCTTTTGCTGGGAAGGGCACATCCGGCGGTTAAGTGCTCGGCTGGGAGATGGACCCAGATCCTCTGGAGAGCTGCGCCCCCACCTCCCTGCAATGGGAAAGGTGCTTACCACACAGCCTTGGAGAACTTCCCACTGGGCTGCCCTGTACAGGACAGGGGTGGCAACTGTGCACCAGAGGTGTGGTCCCCATGTGCTCTGCTCCCCGGGCCTTTAAAATGGGGGGAAATAAAGTCAGAATGAAGACTTACAGATCTGCTGAGAAGAGCAAATGCTCTGGCATACAGGACAGCACACTGGTCACTGACACACACTCCCCAGGTTACAACACAACTGTGTTGATGTGGATGATGATGATGATGATGTTAATATATGTTTCATATAATTTGTAATAATTGCTATTATCTATTATTATTAATTGATATTACTAGTGTCAGCCACAGAGGTGGGGAACATGCCCATGGCCTCTTGTAGGTGAAAGAGGCTGCCTGGTATGGCAGCTGAGAACACAGGCCCTGGCTTGCACCTGTTCCTGCCACACAGTCACTGTGGGACATGGACAAGTGGCTTTCCCCTTTCATCCTCAGGGTCCTCATCTGGGAAATGAGGGAAGCCACCCTTCCTGGGATCCTGGCAGAATTCACTGAGGTCCACCCATGAGGGGTCTGGCCACGTCCAGTCTCAAAGATAGTGGCTGCTGCAGGCACCTCCGCTTTGAGCACCTGGGTCTACTCATGTAAGTTCCCTGAGTCTCAGTTTGCCCAACTGTACAATGAAGATGGTGATCCCACCCGTCACTTCAGGTCATTGGGAGGAGGAAATAAAATGAAATCACGTACTTCATCTAGTCTGACTGCCTGATGCATAGATAATGTTTACTGAGCTGTGATAATGTTTTTGTGCTAGTAGTAGGCAGGATGATAACCTGCCCCCAGCCCCAGGCCTCCTGCCTAGGGCTTCTCCTTGTTGGTGAATTGTACAGCCCGAAACAGGGTGACCTTCATCAAGCCAGGATTGCATTCCCAGTGCCTTTGGAGCATGAGCCAAGGGGGTCAGCTGTGCAGCAGCTGCACCAGCTGCCCTGAAAGAGAAGGGGTCTTAGGCCAGGCACAGTAGCTCACGCCTGTAATCCCAGCACTTTGGGAGGCCAAGGCGGGTGGATCACTTGAGTTTGGGAGTTTGAGACCAGCCTGACCAACATGGAGAAACCCCATCTCTACTAAAAATACAAAAACTTGGCCAGGTGTACTGGCGCATGCCTGTAGTCCCAGCTACTTGGGAGGCGGAGGCAAGATAATTGCTTGAACCCGGGAGGCGGAGGTTGCAGTGAGCTGAGGTTGCGCCACTGCACTGCAGTCTGGGCAACAAGAGCAAAACTCCGTTTAAAAAAAAATAAGAAAAGAAAGAGAAGCGGGTCTGAGTCTCTGGGAAGCTGCAGTGGGGGCTGGGCCTTGAATTGGCCCTGGACGCCAAGGCCGGAGGACACTGAGCCTTGGTCTTCTCCTGCTCCATCTGCCGGTGGCTCCAGGGTCGTTTCCCACCTACCCTTTCTGCTCACACAATGTCAGGGCCAAAGGAATGCTTGCAACACAGCAAAAAGCTTCATTGTTTTTTCTGGCTGTAGAAGTAATTATTGTCCATTGCAGTAACAAAAATTGGAAAATTCAGTAAAACATAAATTAAGAGTATCCTAGATTGGGTGTGGTGATTCACTTCTGTAATCCCAGGCCTTTCGGAGGCTGAGGTGGGAGGATTGCTTGAGCCTGGGAGGTTGGGACCAGCATGGGCAATATAGCAAGACCCCATGTCTAAAAAAAAAAAATTCAAAAATTAGCTGGGCATGGTAGTGTATACCTGTAGTCTCAGTTACTTGAGAGGATTCCTTGAGCCCAGGAGTTTGAGGCTGCAGTGAGCCGTGATCCTGCTGCTGCACTCCAGCCTGGATGACAGAGTGAGCTCTGGTCTTCAAAAATAAAAAGAATACCCTAAATCGTAAACTTCCAGGTATTTTTGTTATACACATATAGATACAGATTTTTTCATAAGAATGGAATCCTATTATGTTTGCTTTTTTTTTTTTTCAGACAGTCTCATTGTGTCGCCCAGGCTGGAGTGAGCCTGCAAGCTCCGCCTCCCAGGTTCACGCCATTCTCCTGCCTCAGCCTCCTGGGTAGCTGGGACTACAGGTGCCCGCCACCACGCCCGGCTAATTTTTTTTGTATTTTCAGTAGAGACAGGGTTTCACCATGTTAGCCAGGATGGTCTCGATCTCCTGACCTCATGATCCGCCCACCTCGGCCTCCCAAAGTGCTGGGATTACAGGCGTGAGCCACCGCGCCCTGCCTATGCTTGCTTTTTAAAAATCAGAATGAGTATATTTTATCCTTAAATCACCTTTATTATAAAATATAGCACATACAGAAATAACCTATAAAATAATTGTTCAATGGTATGAATTATGACAAAGCAGCACCCCTGGGAACCACCACTCGAATGAGGATCTAGAGCTTTGCCAGCCACCCCAGAACCCTGTGTGCCCACCTCACTCACAGCTCCCTGTCCCCACAAAGTTATCCTGACTTTTAAGTTGATCACTTTCTTGTTTGTTATTACTCAAATGTCCATTCCTAGATGTTGAAATTTTTTTTTTTTTTTTGACAGTGTCTTGCTCTGTGGCTCAGGCTGGAGTGCAGGGGCACAATCTTGGCTCACTACAATCTCTGCCTTCTGGGTTCAAGTGATTCTCCTGCCTCAGCCTCCCGAGTAGCTGAGATTACAGGTGCTTGCCACCACACCCAGCTAATTTTTGTATGTTTGGTAAAGATGGAGTTTCACCATGTTGGCCAGGCTGGTCTTAAACTCCTGACCTCAGGTGATCCACCCGTCTCGGCCCCAAAATACTGTAATTGCAGACGTGAGCCACCGTGCCCGGCTGAAATTTTCTCTTCCTAAAGTCTCTTAAGTACCTGTTTTAATCTACAGGCTTTCTTTTTCTTTTTTTTCTTTTTTTCTTTTTTTTTCTGGTGCGGGGGCAGACAGAGTCTAGCTCTGTTGCCCAGGCTGGAGTGCAATGGTGCAATCTTGGCTGACTATAACTTCCACCTCCCAGGTTCAAGGGATTCTTTTGCCTCAGCCTCCTGAGTAAGTGGAATTAGGGGTGCCCACCACCATGTCTGGCTAATTTTTGTATTTTTAGTAGAGACGGGGTTTTGCCATATTGGCCAGGCTGGTCTGGAACTCCTGATTTCAAGTGATCCTCCTGCCTTGGCTTCCCAAAGTGCTGGGATTACAGGCGGGAGCCACCTCGCCTAGCCTACTTATTTTTTAACCTGCTTTTTTTTTTTTCTTTTGACTTGGTGGTATATCTTGGACCTCATCGATGTTAGTAAATGTGATTCCTTTTTATTTATTTATTTTTAAAATTTTGTTTTAGAGATGAGGTCTCACTATGTTGCCCAGGCTGGTCTCAAACTCCTGGGCTCACGCAATCCTCCCTCCTCGGCCTCCTGAGTAGTTGGGGCTATAAGTGTCTCCATCATTTTTAATGACTCCATTGTTCCATCGAAGGGATGGATATAACTGACCTGTCCTCTGCTGATGGACACTTAGATTGCTTTCATACTTTTGCTGTTACAATCAATACTGTAATGAAAACCTTTTTTTTTTTTTAATTTTTATTTTTGAGATAAGGTGTCACTCTGTCACCCAGGCTGGAGTGCAGTGGCATGACCACAACTCACTGTAGCCTCAAGCTCCTGGGCTCAGGCAATCCTCCCACTTCTGCCTCCCAAGTAGCTGGAACTACAGATGTGTGCTACCACGGCTGGCTAATTTTAGATATATATTTTTTAAGTCATGGGGTCTTGCTATGTTGTCTAGGCTGATCTCGAACTCCTGGGCTTTATCTGCCTGCCTCAGCCTCTCAGAGTGCTGGGATTACAGGTATGAGCCACTATGCGTGGATGAAAAACTTTATCCATATGTCCTTGTGCACTTGAATGATTTCTAGAAGAAATTTCTAGAAATAGAGTCATGGGTCCAAAGGACAGGCGTTTAAAAAATAACTTTATTGAGATATCATTCATATACCATATAATTCACAATTCAAGGTTTTTATTATATTCACAAAGTACAACCATCACCACAACAATTTTAGAACATTTTCATCACTCCCCAAAGAACCTTATACCCATTGCTCCTGAACCCTCTTCCCCAGCCCTAGGCAACCACTAATCTGTTTTCTGCTTTCTGTCTCTATAGATTTCCCTATTCCAGACATTTCATATAAATGAAAAAGTGAAAGCTTTTTTTTTTTTTTT